AACATCTCTGCAATACCTCTAACATTTTCCAAATTCTTTTCCTTTAAAACCAATTTTTCTTCTCTTTTATGCAGCACACTCTAGCATTTTGTTTACACCTGCTTTAAGAGGTAAACTTAAAAAAAATATGCTATGGAAAACCTTGGCTAATTGCGCCACTTGGGCTTTACTCCAAGAGATCTCTTAGATACTCCTGTCAAGGGAGCAACTAGACTTGTCAGAACCTGAGGTGAGGACATGAAGGAGGTGGAGAAGGAGGTGGAGAAGATGGAAAATATTGAGATTCATTACCAAAGCACAGGACAAAACAACAGCCTATGCTTTGTTATTTATAGAATGTGATGAGGGTGTATAAAATATACCTATTTCTAGTTCTTCAACATTAATACCTTCAATGTAAAATCTGTCCATACTGTTATATTCTGTGGCACACTATGTAGTCCCACAAGCCTGAATTACTCAAGCAGGGAGGTGGATTCAATAGTTCAAAGCTAAATTTGAACTTGTTTGGATTATAAACCATCAGAAAATGCTTGGTAACAAGTTGTATAATTTGTTATTTTGGGGTAATGATCACAAGCTTGTTATGCAATTACAACTATCTAAGGCAAGATAAAACATTAGTAAGAAGTACAGTAATTAAATTAGGCTTATCCAACCTAATCTATTTATGATGGTTTAACTTGTCAACTTACAAACTAAATAATTAAAGTTGGATCAGCTCAATTCAATTACTTGTTACCAATTGAACTAATTCATTAAAGTTGAAGCTGCACTCTCTTTTCAGAGTGTACATATGTAGGGTGGTCACTGGAGGTTCAACTGAGTTTGTCAGCCTGCAATCAATATGCAAAATGGATTTGCTACATTGTCAAGGGTAAGCTCTTCCTTTATATGATGAGAGCTGAAGAGCAGAAAGAGAGCAAAGTACAAAGAAATAATAGATGAAGTGCACAATGTAATTATTCAATAGGTAACCCATAACAGCAGATTTTGGTTTTAAAGCGCATGGTACTCAGCTCACAGGGATCTGTTGTCACAGTCTTGGTTTTGTTATGTTTTCTTTTGAGTATTTAGTTTTACTTTGCCCCATGTTTTTCTAGTTTTATTGGTTTAATTCTCATTTTTTTGTGTTTTCTGGTTATTTTTCAGTTTTCAAGTTTTTATTTGTTGCCCTCTGCTGCCCTCTGGTGTTCTCCTTTTTCCCTAGCTCCTTTCCAGTCTGCTATGTTCACACCTGCTCCCAATCTGCTTGTTAGTCCTTTCTTTGTTCAGTCTCTCATAAATACACTCCTTGTGCAGTTCCTCAGTACTGGTTCCTCATCTAACTTCCTCCAATGCCGTCTCATAGTGTCTTCCTTGTCGTGATTGTTTTCCCCTGATGTCTCCATGGTTTCTGGTTTGTTTGACTATTTTCATATTTGGTTTTTGGATATTTGGATTCCTGCATCAGCTGTCTGTTTACCTTTAATTCAATCAAAAAGAAACTCACCTCTGCCTCCCTGCCTCTGCATTTGGGTCCTCAGACCACAACCAAACTCTGACATCTGTAGGAAAAACTGTAACTGTACTCATTTAGATTTATTCACAGACTGCTTCATCAGTATATACAATTATTGGAGAAAACATATGAAATGCAAGACACAAGAACTTTAACCACCACCTTCAAAAGCTGGTGATAAGCAGTTTTAAATAAAGAAATTGTTTCCTGTTACAAATTTCAGATTATTAACTGCGTACTTCTATCAAACACAAATGTGCTCATGCATTTACAAGCTTTTACATAGAAAATCATGGTAATGATTAGCCATTGTATCTCACATCTCCATATTTTACAACTGAAATGATGTAGTTTCAACTAGCCACACATCAAAGACCTTTCTCGCACCCACCAACATGTAGTGTCAGTTACGTTCAATCTTGGTCCTCCTTTTAGGCCTTTTTGGGCATCTTGAAACAGTCATTCCATTTTATATTATTCTCTGCCAGCACCGTGTGATATGTAATCTTAAAAGACTATTCAATTACACACTATGGGACATGAAATCAATAATCTTTAGTACGGCATCAAGTATGATAAGTCCACATTTTACTTCTAAAAAGCATAGAACTGTAAGTAACGTTAGCAGTGTGTGCTAGCCATTACTGTTGCAAGAGACATTGTAACAAATCTGAAAAAGGGAGAATGAGAAAGAGAATTCGGATGTAGTTCTTGCAGGAAAGAGACGAATTTAAGACAGGTGAAGATATGTTATAAGATCTTACCATTTTAGGGGGTATACAGTAACCTGCAAGATTACATTCACAAGCTGGATGTATCTAATATAAAGAAAGTAAATAAGCTGTTCAGCTTCATGATCTATTGTCACAGCCCTCCATGACGTAAGTTAAACAAAACTATCTCAAATAGATTAAATAGTTTTATTTGGGGGAATAAGTTTAATCAAACATCACCATCCCTTGAAAAAAAGTTAAACAAAATGTTATCAAATCTTGAATTAAAGTGTGCTTCAGATGCATAAATAAATAATCCAGCAATTAAAAACTATTATTAGGGTCATAGTATGAAGAAGACTTTCTGCATGATCTTCCTAAAGCCCTCGTCTTTTATCTTTGACAGCCAAAAGCTGTGTGTAAAGCCGTAGGGATTATGTCTTTTTGAACAGTAATTGTATTTCACTTACTGCAACTTTATAAATTTGTTTTAACCTTCCCTTTGAAAAACTTAATGAAGATAGGTTTAAATATTTACCCTTTAAAGTAGTGTTAAATATTACCCTGGCACAACTTTTAAACTACCGCTGATTCCAGCCAAGTCTGGCCGGACCAATCAGAACATGGGAGACATTATTTTATGATACGTCACTCAGAGTACCTTTCTATTTTTCTGATAGCAAAACAGTGAGATGGCAACCGGAACGGAGAAATGTTTTAATGATGCCCTTTCTGATGTCGTAAGTGAGAATCAACTTTAAAACCCCAACAATGGACAGCTCTTGTGTCATTTCTTTTTTTAAAAGGATGCATTTTGGCATGACGTGTTTCAGTGACAACAAAAGGACAAAGTACAGTGTGTTGCATTTAGTTTTTGCATCATGTCCATTCTAACCTGATAATGCTGACCCAGTTAGTGTGGTCTTTGAAATCGAGCTCTACCAGCTCTTCCCCAGACTGACACATCTAGTATATGTCAGATTAGTCTGGCTGTCAGGCAAGTCAACTATATGTAAGATAGTGACTTAAATTGCCAAACTGAATATTTTTGTAAGATTCAAAGCTATACAGATAAAATGTCCTCATGTTTTGACAATCATGTCTTTTTTGCACCTGTTTTGGAGTGTTGTTGAACATGTTTTTAAACTTATACAATAAGACAGAGTTAAGATTACGAACATAAATAGACAAAAATCATACAGCAGGGGTCCATTTCATGAAGCAGGTTTAAGTTGCCTAAACCTGAAAACATGAAAACTCTGACTTTTCAGTTTAACAAAGAGAGTTCCCTTAACCTGTTTCACCGTAGTAACATTGTCCTCAGAGCTAACCTGGTTTGTAGCAGGTTTTCTTTAGTAAACTCTGAGTCTCCTGTCTCCGCTTTCCCTATAGTCAATCATGCTCTTTTATTTCTTGATTTAATCAGATTTTTGTCATACTTTCTTTGTCTAAATGATCATTTCAAACAAAAGGACATTCTCTACAGAGAATAAACATTATGGATGTCTATAAATACATTTCAGATCTCCATATTTATAATATCACTGGTCAGCATTTGTCATTTCAAATAGGAATTTTTTTTTTCAGATCTCATAAATACATTTTCAGTCAAGCTGATAAATGTCAGAACGGCCTATTTAAATGTTGAAACATTTCTTAATATATAAAACTTAATTCTTACAAGTATATATATATACATTTTTTTTTTACTTTCTAAAATTCAGTTTCTGCCACAAGAATGTGATTTGGAAAATAAAGTATCACAGTTAGGTGTAGGAGTGTGATTTGTATCAGGAAGAATATGATTTTAGTGATTCTCAAATGGAATGAAGGAGTGCTTTTAATAAATGTAAAAATTAGCTGTCATAGCCCACTTCATATAAACTTGAGCATTTAATAAAGCAACAATCTTCTCTTTCGCCATCTGCCTCTGCTTTATAGCTGTAATGCTGTTTCTCCATCTTTTAAACACATTCTCTTTTTTATTTTTATTTTTTTTGCATTTCTGCATTAAAATCTCTAGTTCCAGTGGTGTGAATTAGGCACTTCCTGTTGCTTGTTATCATGGTGACTCGTGGAATCGGTGCTCCACTGATAACAGCTTTTCATACTTGTTGCGCATGCGCTTAACTCTGAGAGGACCTAGTTAAAATTGATTGAACTAATTGATAGCAGCCGTTGTGAAACTAACACTCAAGAGATCCCGACTTTAGGCTGAATTTGTTAAATCTGCTTTGTGAAACAGACCCCAGCACACAAAAGGATCTGTTTTGTAGCTTAGTAACAGTATTTTGTTAAATATTTATAACAGTAAAGATTTCACAAATATTTAGTATAGAGAAAATTCAGACTACATTTTAAAGAATTAAATGACCTTATTAGGAAAGGGACAAAGGGATTTCAGACAACCTCACTTGACTCATTTGTGCAGTGCTCAATACACTATAAGAAGGACACAATGATTTCCTAGTGTCTAATTGGAAATGATAATTCATCATATGGATTATTACAGCCAATTAACACTACTGTACTTCTGCAGCCCACTTGCTCATTTTATTCACTGCATTAATGCAGAAATGTTAAGAGTTTTATACCCCATAGGGCAGCTGCAAATTAAATAATAGTCACTCTTTTGTTACATACAACAGTCATAAGCCTCATGTAATGAGTTAGTAGAGAGTTGAGGTCAGTTATAGGACAGGCAAAGCTTTGCCAGTGTTTTAGTGTCACCAACACATGAGAAAGTTCCACCTAAAGGTGGGGGGTTCTGGAATGGATCTGCCCACCTTGGTAGTCACTGTGAGGAGGGGCTTCGCTTCTGATGACGCCTTACTGGGTATCTCCTTCAGGACCATGGCAACAGTCTTATCTGCAGCCCTAGAGTCTTTCCCCTACAACAGTGAAATCAACAACGACTTTTGTCAGGACAGTTAGACAACTCATAGCTTTTTGCTCCCATCCAGGGAGCCTAACATTATTAAAACTTTATAATGTGTGTAGGGCTATCTAACAATAAAAACATTAACATTTCCACATCACTATGGCGATGAGAAGCATCACTGCACAATGTAGACGTTTGACTGCATACACAGATGAGTATGGTTGTCCAAAGCAATACTTTTCACACTATAAGATGGGAAAGTATTATACAGCTTGTGACCTCAATAAATACAAAACTAAAAGATGTATGAAATAGTAATCGCCAAATCGTAAATCATCCTGATTTTGCCTTACACTGCGATGTTGTCCCAAATTGTTCCCAAAGTTATTTTTTAAGCCTATCTGTTAAAGCATTATGTATCTAGGTAGTTGAGTGGTAGTTAAAAACGGTCATAAATGTTCATGACAAGATGTATATTACATTTTAAAGGTAATCTAAAGCTTTTTGTTGGGAAGATTATATCTCAAATGGTTTTTATTCACAGTTGGTTCTTATTCCTGTTCAGGCTAACTTACTGGAAGTTTTCTGATTTTAATTTGCTATAAGATATTATTAGTTTAATTCATAACAATAGAACCCCATGTCTTTACAGCAGACAAAAAATCATATCAAAGTACATGAAAAAAATAACAGCATATGTTTTGCTTCTCTCATTTTGTTTGTGTTACCTAAGTGTCTACAAAAGTGCCTTTTAATTTTTGCTTAATTTAAGGTTGAGCTTATTTCTAATACTGCCCTGCTTCCCACAGCCTCTCAGAGAGAGAGAGCTCCCTTGGAATTTGTCTGCTAATTCTTAAAACTACTTTACATAACAGTAAAAACTGATTATCGGAGAGGTCAAACAGATTTTTCAATCTATTGTCATGCTTTCCATCTTCATTTCATGGTTAAAGGGCACCCTTGGTTTTCACAGACATCTCTCATTTACAGAACATGCTTCTGCAACGAGACAAATTAAGCAGTGTTAATTACAAGGAGGAGGCGGAACCATTGCCTCACAATTATTATTTTGAATCAATTGTTGTCTGAGAACAGTGAATAAATGCAATGCAAACAGAATGGTAAAAAAAGACGTAGATATTTTCTCATTTTGACTCTCAGATCAGAGCATAGGACCTACTAGTCAATCAGTAAATCGTGTTTCTACCTTTGAACAAAATGTGGTTCTTTGTCTTTTAATTTTCTCAACTGATTATAATACAACCTACTTCGGCTGAGTCCAAAGGGTGACTTAAAGCCTCTTAATCATTGAAGTTAGTCGCTTATGGGTCAACCAGCTAACAATTGGCTTTTGGCTCCCTTTGCATTGGCCAAAAATGCTAGTTCTGACCCCCCACTGGCAAGCTGGGTGGCCTCTGTCCTCCCACTGCCTCATGTCTGGTGAAACAATCGCACTGGGTTAGCATTGATGATGCCACCAGTGCAACACAAAATCAGGAAAGTAAACAATAGAGAGCAACATGAAAGGAAGTCAAGGCATAGTAAGAGTGCTGTACTGTTTTGCTCTTTTATCTGTCCGAATCCCTCTTACCAGTGCTGTGCCATGTTTATCAAATGCTAACTGAGTTGTATCGGCTTGTTAGATCAGTTGCGACTAGCACTGGGCAAGGTTAGTATGTTGTGCTCAATGTTATCATGTAAATTAGCGGGTGGACCCGGGTCTGGTGTTCCCACAGCATACCGGTCAGAGCCAAGGCAATTTTAACACCCATCATTTGCCGAGCTAATTGACCTTGGTAGACACAGGTCAGGGAGCTGTTCCCACTGACACTAATAACCATTTCTTCCAGGGTTTAAACAGGTTTTTCGTCCAGGGGGAAAGGGAATATAATAGTCTAGGTAAAGCACCTACTCACTCTCTCATGGGCTTGAAGTTAGTACAAATTAACAACAAGGGTCACTAAGATGCAGTCAGAAGCAAATCAGTACTCGTCCTAACAAAGATTTAGGCAAGAGATTCAAAAAATGTATTTCTTGTGGTTTGGTCTAAAATGTAAATGATGCAGTATTTGATTCATCATATGTTTTGTACTGTCATATGTTCAAGTCTTGTTATGTGATGCTGCTTAGGCTCTGTCTGTCTGAACTAAATTCTGTCTCTGTGATATCTATAAATTACTCTAGCTGTCCAGAAGCACTTTTAAACAAAGCTTTTACTGCCGTACTTTTTTACTGGGCACTTAACGATACACATGTTTTTTTTAGTTCTGGTGCTAAGGGGTAGCTAGCCTAGGCTAGCGCTAGCTTAGCACTGCTATGGCCTCCATCTCCTCTCTCTAAATCTCCTTCTCCTTTCTCCTGCTCTATGTGTCATCAGATGTTCAGTAATTCCTCTGCCTCCTTTAGTGATAATGATATGTGTAATAAGTGTAGTATTTGGGTCAAGATGATTTTGTTCAATTATAGACCTATATCAAATGTTCCATCCCACACCCACATTATGACCTATCCATTTTGGGTCCAGGGCAAAGTTTAGAAAGTTTAGTCATGGGGTCATCCTCCAAGTCTTTCTTTATGTCTCATTTGGCCCTGAATATAATGGATTCCTTAGAGCTAGCACGGTCTGCAGAGAGCTGTCAATCAATGGACATGCTCCCCGATGTTCTTAATATGAAATTGGTGATGAGTCTGAATCAGTAACACAGCATAGCCGCCAGGACTTTCAGCTCCTTCAAGGTGGGAATGAAGAAGGTAAAGTATCCCTCTATCTATGTCATGATCTTGGCGCAGATGACTGGTCTGATTACTCATTTCATTAACCTGCTTATCTCCTCCCAATTCTCATTGGCATTCATTTGAGCCACCTGTTTCACCCTCCATTTAACCAGTCTTCAAATCAGTCATCAGTGCCAGATTATTCAAACCAGTTGTGACATTTATTCTATTATGGATTATCCTGCCTTGCTTCGTCTACTCACTTCTGATTTCCTGCCTGTTCTCTGACCTCTGGGACATCACCAACTTAGTGACTCAGACATTCGTTGTTATCCTCCGTCAGATAGACGTAGTCCCTAACCTGCTGTATCCTCCTACAGAGGTTCTTGCCTTAGCAACTCTGTTTGCAGTTCGGTTTTCAATAAACATTTTGATAAATCAAACTGTCAACTGCCTGCCTCAAATACTGGGTCCTACTGTTCTAAGTGTGACTATCTACCCTTTTTCGGAGAATATATATATTGTACCTTTATTATTTTGATAAGGATAAATTACTTATAATTCTACCACTTCTTTCACCACTATACTTTGCTGAAAAATATAAATCAGACAAAAAAGGTTTACAGCAATTTCACTTATTGCATTGTTTTTCGAGTAGGTGAGGGATGATTTCATTGCAAAAATATTTTGCTTAAGGAGATAATAAAGCTTTTGGGGGAGTGGCAACCCAGTGGTTTAGGGCATTGTGCTTGGGCTCCAGAGGTTCTGAGTTCAAGCCCCATTCTCACGGACTGCCACTCTGGGTCCCTGAGCAAAGACCTTTAATCCCGCACTGCTCCCCGGGCACCACACAATTAAAGCCCACTGATCCCCAAAGGGGATGGGTTAAATGCAGAAAACGACTAGAGAAACAAGTTAATGTCGTTGCTCTGTACTTGTAATGAAAATAAATGCTGAAAAATAAAAACTTGAATTTCTACCCATTACTATAAAAAAAATGGTATCTCTGAAACTGATGTGAAGTTTGTTTTCCTAAGTCCTAGACTAATTGTAAGACCCTAAAAGCATATTTCTTTATTTTAATTATGATGAGAGCTTTCCAATCCTAATTAACATTGATAATATGAATATTTTCCCTCTTCTTCTAAATTTTCTGTTTTACTGTCACCTTTCCAGTATTACATTCCTCTTTTGTTACATCTTGGATTAATTGCTATAACATATTTATTGAAAAATACTACACCTTTGATTAGCCAGAGCGGAATGTATAAAATCAGCACAGAAAATATGGAAGGTAGAAGAAGGACTCCATTACAACTATTGCTACATCTACTGGCACTAGTAGAAAAGTTAATTTCCCTTTTTATTGAGCAATTTGTTGTCAGCTTACTCTTGACTGCATGTATGATCTAAAGGACCTTCTACTGTGTTAGGCTACTTCAGGAATAGATACTTTGAATTTCACTTAACTGACTGCCAGGTAGCATTTTAAGTATGGATATTTCATGGGATTCTCAGGCTTTTTTATTAAATTCACTGTCTACATGGAGGAAGAGGAAAGCAAAGCAGTGAGGCGCTGCAAGGAAAATTAATACTTTCCTCTGCTTTAGCTGTGGATGACAGCTGAGTAAAAGTCCGAGAAAGGCACATCATCTTAGTGGACAGCAACATCAAGTTTTCTAGGGAGCGTCCCAAAGATAACAAACTACCTTTTGGGAATGGTTTTACTACATATAGAAAGAAAAACACTGTAGTCTAAAGAAATCCCCAAACTAGTACATAGAGTTTGAATCTCCACACCTAATGAGACATAAACAAAGAACTAAATGAACCCTGCAGCAATCAGCTGAACAGGTCTCTACAAGTACATAAGGAAAGGACAAGGGACACATAAAAGCCACTTCAAACTTTATCCAAACCGGCCTGGTGTTTAGAAGAAAAGAACCATTTGTACAAAGAACTTTATTCTTAATTTGTTTACAAGTGATTTAGGAGAAAATGTCGCATTCATGTCAATGTAGGGCGAAGGTTGGTTAAGGGCCCAAATCCAGACAGGAGGAGGCAGAGAGGAGTTTTTGCTGATTTAATGGCAAACAGAAACAAAATCCAAGAACAGAATGCAGAAAACCAAAAATCAGGAGACGTCTGGGCAAAACACACGAGGAACCAAATGTTGAAGAGAAACCTGTAAAGAGTAAATGAACAGGAGATGTATACATGGGAGACAAAAGCAATGGGAGGACTAATTAAAAGATGTAGACAGAAGGAACCAGAAAAGGCTAAGGGATAGG